GAACCGCGAGATCATGACCTAAGCGAAAGTCGGACGCTTAACTGACTAAGCCACCCAGGCGCCCCTCACATTGTGCTTTTAATTTGTATTTCCCCAATGATCCATTATGCTACCTTCTGATGTGTTCATTAGCTATCCATATATCTTCTTCGGTGAAGTGACTACTGAATCCTATACCCATGGGTTTTTTTTCTTTACTCATGTTTTAAATAAGTTTTTTGTCCTCTTATTATTGAGTTGTAAGAGTTCTTTATAAGTTCTGGATACAGAACTTTAACAGTATGTGACTTGCAAATGATTTCGCCCAGTCTTTGGCTTTCCATTTTCTTAACGATATCTTTTGAAGAGCAACTGCTTTAAGAAGCCCAATTTATCAATTTTTTTCTTTTATGGATCATGTTTTTGAATAAATCTTTGTCTAATCCAAGGTCACAAAGCTCAAAGTTTTATAACTGTACCTCTTACATTTAGATCTATGAGCTCTGTGTGTATTTGGTATGAAGGAAGGGTCTGGGTCCTTTTTTTCTCCATATTAATACCTGTTGCTCCAGCACCATAGAAAATACTCTCCTTTCACACTGAATTGCTTTGGAACTCTTGTTAAAAATCAAGTATTCGTTTGGTGAATTTGTTTTCAGGATTCTCAATTGTCTTCCATTGACCTACATTTCAATATTTATGCCAATACTGTACTACTTAAATTACTGTAGCTTTAAAAATGTCTTAAAATAGGATACATTTGGGTGACATCCAACTTTGCTCTTCCTTCTCAAACTTGATTTGGCTATTCTAGGTCCTTTGAATTTTTATATCAGTTTTAGAATGAGCTTGTGAATTTCTAGAAACAAGCCTGATAAGATTTTAATACAAAATGGACTGAATCCATAGATCGATTTGGGAAGGATTATGGTCTTAACAATACTGAGTCTTCTAATCCATAAACATGATATATATCTCTATTTAGGTCTTCTTTAATTTCTTGTGTGCATGTTCAAAATTGAAAAAAGTATCCCTGAAAGCATTATAGAATATCTAGAGCAGATTCAATCTGGATATATTATCTATCCAACAATTTAATTTAATTAGGGCAATGCCTGGGATTTCTACCACCCTCCCTGTACCCAACTGCCTCCAGCAGTAGTTTTGAAGACCAACGTACAATGCACATCCTCAGAACTGTTACCGCTGAGAATACATTTTGTAGGAGAGGGTTTTTGAAGCAGAAACCAAGTCTACAACTTCAGGGTATATATGGTCCATATTTTGTTATTCTGAGAATTAAATAAAAATTTTAGACATCTTAGTGATGTATTTAATTTGAATAGTTTGGTAAATAACTGTTGCTCATGTTCTCATACAGGAACAGATTTCCATCCCATCCTGGATAATAATGATACAAATCACTTCTGAAATGTTTACTGTGTGTCAGGCCTTCTTCTAAGCTCTTTAAGGATATGAACTCATTTAACCTCAATAACAACTCTAAGGAATAAGAAGTATTATTCCCATTTTACACATGAGGTCACTCAAGAGAAGTTGAGTAGCCTGTCCAAGGTTATACAGTTAGGAAGTAGTGGAGCCAGAATTCACACGTGTGCTAGGCAGTTTAGATGCAGAATCCATGCTCTTAACCACTCTGCAGCATGAGATAGCAGAGCATTTCATTTTGAGTATTTTCAGACCTCTGCATTCAGTAATGAAACACTGGATAATTCAGATCAACCCTCTCAGACAACTAGAAAAGTTGAACAAACTATTTTTAAAAATCCAATCAAATGCATCAGAGAATTTACAAAGGGTAAGGAATTAGCAGGTCACAGTCTAAAGAAGGCAAAAACCAGAGGAATAAGCCATATTTGGGTCTCCTTTTACCAGAGAGACATTTGCCAATTCTGGACAAGTTAGCAAAGAGGTTGTTCAACCTTTTTGCCAGTTTTATAAGGCTAAAGGAACAAAAGTCAGGAGTTCAAGGTATGTCAAGAGTGAGAGCCCTGGTAAAACTCTCAAGATTGGATTGGGACCCAGAAAGACTGCATCCTAGGAATAAGGGTGAATCAGATATAAACCCAAACTTTCACAGACTGCACCCCAGTTTCTAGTCATCTGGGTAGATATCAATCCCTAAAACTGAGTTAAGGTAATCCTGTCCTGCTAGTTGCTTTTCCTAGGATAAATAAAATCCTCACCAAAGGAAGATATTATTATCTGAGGTTTCATGTTATTTCTACAATTTTTTCAAGAAAAATATCAGATATATAGTCAACAAAAATCACGCATAAGAGAAAACAAGACAAGAAGAACATAATGTAGCAGGATAAAAAGAACACATTATAGAAACAGACACAGAAGTTCCAGATATGGGAATTATCAGAGAAAGACTTTAAGATAACTACTTTAAACTATTTTCGCAGAGATAAAAGACTATAAATTTTGGCAGAGAATTAGAAACTATAAATAACAAAGGAGATGTGAAAAATAAACAGAAATTCAAGAATTGAAAAATGTTTCAAAGGAGTGAAATCACAAAGAATATCTTCTCTGGCTACAGTGAAATTATGATAAAAAGATAATGTTCACATGTTTGGAAATTAAGAAATAGCTAAATGGAATAAGTATGTCTCTAAATCAAAGAGGAAATCAAGATGCAAATTAGAAAATATGTTGAATTAAATTATACACAAAATATTACTATGTATGCAGTTAAAATTGTCCTTAGAGGTTTGAACAAATATATTAGAAGGAAGAAAGGCTGAAAATAATGAGTTAATTTAAGTTCCTATATAAAAAGATACAGGAAATAAAAAATAATAAAATAGAGCCAAAGAAAGTTGAAGAAAGGCCATAAAGAGCAGAAATGAATGAACCAGAAAATAAACAGTAGAGCGGATTGTCAAAGCCAGAGCTTGGTTCTTTGCAAAGACTAATAAAATTCATAGATCCCTGGGGAATCTGGTCAAGTAAAAAAAAAAAAAAAGGTAGCTAGTGGTAGGAGCTAAACAGAGGATATCACAACAGATCCTGCCAACATTAATAAGATAATAAAAGAATTTTATGAAATCTTGATGCCAATAAATTGTAATGAAATAAATTCCTAGAAAAATACAACTTCACAAAAACCAATACAAGAAGAATGAAGAAATTTGAATAGTTATGAAATAGTTAAAGAAACTAAATTTGTAATTAACCTATTAAACTAAAGAAATGAAATTTGTAATGAAAATCCTTCTCACAAAGGAAACTCCGGAATCAGATGGCTTTATCAGCAAATTCTCTCGATTATTTAAGACAGAAATAATTCTAATTTTACACAAATTATTCCAGAGAACTTAAAAAGAGAGAGACCACTCCACAACTTATTTTATAAAGCCAACAATGAAAAGTATAGGCCAAAATTATAAGTAAAAAAAGAAAGTGAACATAATTAATGTCAGAACAGTGGTTACCTTTAGGCAGGAGGAAAGAAGGTATAACTGGGTAAGGGTAGGCAGGTAGGCTTCTGGGGTCTGGCAATGTGGTTTCTTGACCTCAATAGTAGTTTACACTCATTTACTTTATAATAAATCATTAAGATACACATTTCTGCTTTTACACTTTGCTGTATATGTAACACAATTCATAATAAAATTTATATTTAAATTTATGGGACCAGCGTCACTTAGTAAGAGAATGGTATGAATACTTGTTGACTGTCATTCTTAAACTTCAGTAATTTTCTTGACTCTATACTCACTCTAAGGACTTACAACTTCAACTTCTTGGAGATTATCTTTTAGAGATTAATCTCTTTAATGTTTACTTGCTTCCAAATTCCACTAATGTACATTATACTGGAATCAACAGTTACAATTACATTTGGTAATAGAGGCATCTATTCTTTTTTTTTTTTTTTTAATGTTTTTTATTTATTTCTAAGAGAGAGAGAGAGAGACAGCGTGAGCAGGGGAGGATTGGAGAGAGAGGGAGTCACAGAATGAAACAGGCTCCAGGCTCTGAGCTGACAGTCAGCACAGAGCCCGACGCGGGGCTCGAACCCAAGAACCGCGAGATCATGACCCAAGCGAAAGTTGGATGCTTAACCGACTAAGCCACCCAGGCGCCCCTAGAGGCATCTATTCTTGAATATTCTATACTTCCTAACATGGAGCATTGCTTTTAAAACCCCAAATTTGGGGCGCCTGGGTGGCTTAGTCGGTTAAGCGTCCGACTTTCACTTAAGTCATGATCTCGCGCTTCGTGGGTTCGAGCCGCGCGTCGGGCTCTATGCTGACTGCCAGCTCAGAGCCTGGAGCCTATTTCAGAGTCTGTATCGCCCTCTCTCTCTGACCTTCCCCTGCTCACGCTGTCTCTCTCTCCTAGAAATAAATAAAAATATAAATAAATAAATAAATAAATAAATAAATAAATAAATAAAATAAAACCCCAAATTTAATCTCGGGTGATAAAACACAAAGATTAACCAATAATCTGTATGTCTGCAACGTGTACAATATAACAACAAACGAGATGGGTATAGTTTCATCTGGGACTAAATAAACATCAACTCAGCAGTTTTTCTGGGAACTTCCACATCTGTTTTCTATCATTCATTATTTTAATCTATTTGTCTTCAGTCTTTGTCTATTCAGCCCTAGTTCAAAACCCAGGCATCTGTCTAGAAGTAAAAAGCTTTTACAGTAACAGGAAATTTAATGATCTGAAAAATGAATGATTTTTTATTAAGACCATGCCATTTTATTTCTTCTCTATAACTGAAGTAAAAGGCACAGCTAGGTGAACATATTTCAAATTTTATTTGATAGCAATTACAAAGCCTAGAGTGAACTACTGCTCCTTTTCACCTTTCTCAATGCCTTTTAACATCCCTCTTCTAGTAAGTATCAAAATATAACAGACTAAAACAATTCTGACTCAAATTATGGAGACCCAAACTTTGGTCTACATATTTTCATGAACTTGATAAACTTAAATAAAAGTAGTATTTTCATCATAAAATTTCTCACTTTTGGAACATGAGGATTAAATTCCACAGCTCTATGAATTGCTTCCACGGCATTAATTTCTGCTGTGCTTAGCCCTCTTCTGGAGGCTGTTTCAGGAGAGAATCTGTAAGAAAATAACAAAATGAAGAAAGGAATATAAAAATCCATGATTCTGATCATAATCTAACTTCCTGAATCAGGGGTTTCTGGTGATGGCCAAAGACAAAGCCAAATAACTAGTAACATGAAAGTAAAGACTTTATTTAGTTCAACATATAATGAAAAGCAGCATAAGCAATAGAAATCCTCAAATTTAGGTAAGGAAAGCTTTCAGGAGACGTCCATTGAAGGCATACTATGGGAAGGATGGTAAAATATGAAATGCTACACAGGGACATCCTGAGAATCTCATGAAATAGAAGCACGCTGTTATCAATTTTTCACTGAGAGGAAACACTGTATGCTCCATTCTAATTCATTTCCAGGCATAGTAATCTAAGGTGAAAAAAATGGTTGCCATTTGGTTGGTTTCTAAAAATCTCATCAGTGGAATAAAGAGAAATTCATTAAGGGCAGCCAAAAAGACAAAAAAAAGAGAGTAACTTGAAATTATAATCTCAGAACAGATAGTATGAAACTACTTCCCTACCACATACCTTATCATTATCACCATAGCTACCAGGTAGTCTCTGTACTTTCTAACATTGCTTTAAGCATTTAACACACATAATCCTCAAACGCCCACGCCACAGCATTATTATTCTCATTTTACAGAGAGGAAGAGACTCGAACCGATTAACATGCCCAAAGTTCCACAGCTGGAATGCAGAGACTTTGAATTGGAATCCAGGTTTAGTATAGCTCTGAAAACCTAGCTCTTTCCATTACACTAGTCAGAAGCCTCCTGAGATCAAGGGTTATTCAAAAGAAAGTAGAGAGGAAAAAGCATTGTTTAAAGTCGGTAGTGAAAACCATAATACAGTTTCCCTTGCTATCTGCGAGTGTTTCTATCAAAACTTTCCTTAAACTGGAATGGCATAAAGTGAAGAAGCAATTACCTTTTCATAAAAGTGAGAATCTTGTTTGGATTGCTTTCGGTTAGTGAATGCATGCGAAGTGGCATAAAGTAAACTTTCAGATAGCAGGAGAAACCTATATTGAGTTTAGCAGTCTTTCTAAATTACTATAGTTTTCATTACTTACTTATCTGAAACAGTCCTTGTCTTCAGTAGTGCTGCTGTGTAACAAATTGCTGCTGACTTTGGAAGGCTTATATCTGTAATTGTAATTTTCAGCTCATATAAGAATCACAAAACATATCTTAAGATAATTTTTAATAAGAATAATTCATGATACAAAATCAACAGATACCATATAGTAGTGGAAGCATGTGGACACGTAGTTGGACATGTAGACCTGAGTTTTAATCCTGATTCTAGTATTTACTAGCTATGCATCTTTGAACTTGAAGCAACTTATTTAACCTTTAACCTTAGTTTTTTCTTCTCAAAAGAAGTAATACTTTTCTAGCAGAGATTAATTTAAATTATGTCTGTGAAAGCCCTCGCACAATGGTGAAAAGCACTTAAATGTTTATGCTATGCTTACATAAAAGTATTCAGGGAAAAAGGCTTAGTATAGCTGGAAATACTGAAAATTCTACCTTTCAAAGAAAAAAACTAAGATTCAAAAACAAAAACAAAAAAATACTTAACAGTAGTTAAATCCAGGTAATGTAACAGATTATTTTAATTTTTTGTCCTCAGAATGTTTCTGTATTTTCTACATTTTCTTAAAGGACTTTTTTAAAAAATAAAAAAAAAAATTAATCAGGAATTATAATTAATTATATAAAACTTTTTTTAAAGAAAGCACACAATAATGTTATCAGGAAAGTAGGACTTGAGGACCTTCTTGAAGTGATTACAGAATTATACTAGCAAATCGAGAACTAAAGAAATAAATTTGTAGGGCGCCTCAGTAGCTCAGTTGGTTGAGTGCTGACTTCGGTTCAGGTCATGATCTCACATGGCTTGTAGTTCGAGCCCTGCATCAGGCTCTGTGCTGACAGCTCAGAGCCTGGACTCTGCTTCCAATTCTGTCTCCTCTCTCTCTGCCTCTCCCCTACTTGCGGCCTGCCTCTCTGTCTCAAAAACAAATACACATTAAAAAAAAAAAAAAAAAAAGAAATTTGCTGTTAACTTCTATAAGATTCTAGAATGGTAAAAACTGGGGAATCATAAAATCAACTGAAAACACAGAAGCATGTCTAAGTTGTTAGTTTTATTTTATTTTGAATGAATCAGGTCCTATCTGATTTTTTATATTTGGCTCTTAAGCTCAGTCATTGTAAGTATCATAAGCAGGCCATGTACCCAATAAGTTACATATGGAAAGAATTTCTCACAAATTTTTCCATAAGCTTACACTATTGTGAAGCCCTTCCTAAGAATTCCAGATGTTTAAAAGAAATAAACTTCTCTTTCCAAGTGTAACACATTTCAAACTTTCCAAGTCATGGGGATTCCCAAACTAATGGGTAGGAACTTACAACAAAACAAGGCTGAGTGATTTGTACATGCTCTGTTCTAGCAAAAGATATGACCAGAAACATTACACGATGCTTCTTAAAAATTCTCCCAACTCTATTTGTGGTGAACTGGCACTGTTTAGTACAATAAAAATAGCCAATACATACTGACTCTTTACTATCGGACGACTAGTAAACAAATAAATGGAGCCCCTGGATTTAAGTACAGGTTTGCCACATACTAACTGGAAGACCTTACCCAATTACTTACCTTCTTCAACTCCAGTTGCCTTGTTTACTAACCAAAGTTAAAAGAAAAAAAAAAAAAAAAACTTGTCCTACCACCTCACAAGAGTATTATACAGATATGAAATAATAAATCACACTTTAATCGAGAAGCATTGTAAAAATGTTATTCTGAACTACTCATAGAGTTAAGCAACTTGTTAACTTTGTTAACTGTCTCTGATACTTCAGAACAAATGAGGAACCACCCTATGTCCATAGCACCCCATACTTTTCCAATTACCTCACCTAACACACTATGCTTCAATATAACTACTATTCATCTGTCTGTATGTTCCTTTGCTAAACTGTAAACCCTACAAAGGCTAAGTCCATGCTTCTCATTCACCACTGTATTCCAAGTACCTCACTCATATTAGGTGCTGAATAAATGAATAAATCTTTACAGAAGAAAAGTTCCTCCCTACAGACTTTTGCTCCCAAAAGTCCTGATAAAGAAGGCACTTAATATAACTGTATCTGTGGATTCTAAATACTGTTAAGAATAGGAAGTGAAAATCAAAGAAATACCAAAATAGAATCACATTGATGATTACATAATTGAAAAAAAATATTTTAACCATGCTATAACTAGGTCAATTATCACTCACCATCATATTTTGCTAGGACTGCCTGAACATCTGCATAGGCCTGTAATTCTAAAAGTGATTCTAGGAGATTCTCATGGATGTTCAACATGGTAAGAGGAGGGAATTCTTTCATCAGCTGTACATTAAGAGGAGAAAAGATTAAAATTGTAGCAAAGGAACTCAACAGAGCTGAATCTGATTCATTAAAGCAGAAATTCTTTAGTGGTTTAACAAAACTGGAGATTCAACCCTTAAGAAATGTATGTATATTAAATAAATATCTTGTTATAAAAACTACCAATTAAAAAATGATCTTGCATGAAAAGAACTGGCAACTTAAACCACATTTCAGTTTTTCAAGGAAAAATTATAAACATCCAATCATCAAATTTACTTACATCTCTCATTATTTTTACTGCTTCTCGTATTCTTCCTAATTTTCTTGCACACATTGCTAATCTTCTTTTAATATATACCAGTACATTGGTATCTCTTCCTATTTAAAAAAAAATGACACAACTATCACTTTGTATTAAGACCTACTATTTCATTAACATATTATCCATTAATTTTATTTACTTATGGGGCGCCTGGGTGGCTTAGTCGGTTAAGCGTCCGACTTTCGCTTAGGTCATGATCTCGCGGTTCGTGGGTTCGGGCCCCGCGTCGGGCTCTGTGCTGACTGCCAGCTCAGAGCCTGGAGCCTGTTTCAGTCTGTGACTCCCTCTCTCTCTGACCCTCCCCTGCTCGCGCTGTCTCTCTCTCTCTCCTAGAAATAAATAAAAATATAAAAAAAAAAAAAAAAAAAATTTTATTTACTTATCCTGGAAGCTTCAATTAAAATTAAATTGTTTCCAAATGGAATGATTATTGAATTTGGGTGATAAACATTGAATGAGAATTCATTATACTGTTCTATTTTTGTGTATGTTTGAAGTTTTTTTATAATAAAAGCTTAAAATCTCTTTATATATACAGAATTACTTTTGCATCTAATATTAAGTAATCTGAGTACATTTTATATACATTAATTTGTGTATGCTTGATAAGTGTATTTTAATATTAACTGAGAAGAAATATATACATTAACAGGAAAAAATAAATCTAACTTATTATTTTGAGTTTCTGCATAAACAATCTATTATTTTAATATTCTCTATTGTTTTAACTGACAAAAGATGTTCAAAACAAAATTTCCATGGCTAGTGTGACCTTTTGCTCAACAGCTAGTAACTAACAAACTATAAAACTATTTCTAGAAAGAGCTAACAAATATTTCTGTAAGTACCTCATAATCATATTTGAGATTATACAAAGACAAATGGCATGGCTTTTTCACAGATGTAGTTCCATTAGTTCCAGACTGCAAAATCATATATTCCCACAGTTGTGTCCCATGTAATGGAACATACTGTATACATCAATATTTAGTTTGGAGAGAAAACATTATCCAAATTTTAATTTCCACAAACAAAAGATTTAGAACTTAACTGCTAGCAGATAATGCATTATGTAAACATATTTCAATTTATTGCCCACTATCTGCCAAAATCATTAAACTAAAACCCTCTGGCCACAAAAAATAGCAGGAAGCAGCAGCATTACAGATTTTTACATCTTTGGTGGAAGTATCTCAATCATATCTGAGAGAGTATCCCTAAGCATGGAAAGAATTTCAGTTGCTATGGCCCATATGATCTTGAACACATAAAGAAAAGCCAAAGAAAGAAAGAATCATGCCAAGTGTAAGGCTAGATTTTTATACCAAAGGGGTGATTCCCTGGCACTCTGTGGAGATACATACACTCTGAAGAGGAAACCAAATGATGTACTTTTACTATTGCTTGGGGTAAGGGTGAGGATAAAGGTAATACCTGCTCATGGTTACTAGAACACTCTCCTGAATCTTGAATATTTTTGAGTTGTGCTCCTCCACTGACCAACCCAATTCTCACATGAGACAAATTACTGTTAAGTCTCAGAGCAGCACATCTCTCAATAACCAGAGCACATCTCTTCCCTTCTGTAAGCATTCTCTACCTAATGCATATTTGTCTTGCTGGCTTGTGGACATTATGAATACATTAGTTATCTCTTCTGAAAAGAAGCTAACCTCTAAGTAGTAAGGGTTTTCTGTTTTTGTTTTTTTTACTTATTGTTACTTTGTGTCTTAAACATAAAAGGGCCAATTGCAGGAGCTAAAAGACAGGTAAAATCTGTTCAGATTTGCTTACTCAGTTGAGCTTCATGCTGAGGACTTTGGTGCTGGCACTGCTGTGACCGCCTGTAAATTGTCTCTCCTGCCTTGAGTGCCTGTTTAAATAACCTTTCGGCATCTACAATAGTTGTTGCTTCTTCCTCAGCCAGTAGAACATATGCTGTGGCACAGCTATGAAGAAAGCAAGCAAGGCAATTTTAAGTAAAATGGTTAAGGCAAGCATTTTCTCTTGGATATGTCCCTTTATAATGCATCACATTTCCCAACCATTACCTAGACTTTCCATCTCTTGAAGGAAAAAAAGAAAACTTCACTCAATACTTTATAATTTATTAGGAGTGTATTCGTATATTTTTTGTGTGTTTCCACAATTTTCCTCCTTTCCGAACCTTTCTTCTTTTTACTTTATTTTCTATCTATTTTGTATTTCACTTTTGTATCCATTCTCTGACTGCTTGTCCCATATTTTCCTTTTGTGAAAGTGGGGGGTGGGGGGGGAGAGAAAGTAAGACATATAAAGAATTGTCTAGAAAGCAGTTCAAGGGACTATGCACTCTAGTGGTCATGCCTGCTCTTAGCCACGATATACTCTGCTACTATCCATCTAATAGGGGCAGGTATGGGAGATGGTGAAGATTGAGAAGAAAGTCCCACAGCCAACTAGGCATTTTTAACATTTGACTTAGAGACCAATTGCTCCAGAAATAGCCCTTTCCCAACCCTGAGCCTTCTTTCTGCATGCTGCCCCATCCTCTCTTAGACTTAACCACTATCATGTCGCGGGGAAGCTCCCTTGGTCTGAATTCTAGTCTTTCCTCCTGCAGTGCTGTTCATACTTGTCACACCCACACTCACTCCAGGTTTCTTCACCCCACTAAAACAACAAAGATTTCTCTTTGTATCAAATAAGTCAAAAGCGGGCTAATAAGAGAAATTAACTTGTTTGGGAGCAAAAAAGAGAAAAAGTTTCCTTTCCATTCCCAGAAATAGCAAGTGCATCTCTTCCCAAGACAATGGGCTAGTTATCTAAGCCTACACTGTCAAGTACCATAGTCATTACCACATGTAGTTACTGACAACTTGAAATGTGCCTAATCCAAATTGAGATGGGATGTCAGTGCAAACTGCACAATGGATTTTGAAGAATTGGAAGAATGTAAAATACTTTAACAGTTTAAAAAATATATTGATTATATGTTAAAATAATATCTTAATATTTTGAATACAGCTAAGTAAGACATATTTAAATTAATTTCACTTATTTCTTTTTCCTTTTTAAACCTGGTTACCAGAAAATTTAAAGTTACATATATGGATCATGTTGTATTTCTATTGAACAGTGTTTAAGGAAAAGAAGAGAAATTGTTGGTAAAAGTATAGGACCAGGCATAAAACAAAATGATGGCAAGGTAGCAAGCAACTGGGGATAAGGAGGATCTTTTGAATATACAAAATGCAAATTGGTCCATGTCAGCATCCTTTAAATCATACACTAAATTCACTATATGATAATTTCACTCATTAACAGATATTTCGCATTACGTTATATTAGATTTCTCGAAGCATTAGATCTATTGCTGCTTTAAACACTAGGTTTCTGAATGCCATTCTAAACATAATACAAATGCTTTTAAATAACAAAAGGACTTTAAAAAATCTAGATAGGTATAAATTGATGCAGTAGAATCAAAATTTGAATATAATTTTAAATTACAATATAGCTATATGATAAAAAGGTTCTTTCCTCGGAGGGCTTTCTTGTATTTGTTCAAAAATATTTTTTTTAATGTTTTTTTTTTTTAATTTATTTCTAGGAGAGAGAGAGACAGCGTGAGCAGGGGAGGGTCAGAGAGAGAGGGAGACACAGACTGAAACAGGCTCCAGGCTCTGAGCTGGCAGTCAGCACAGAGCCCGACGCAGGGCTCGAACCCACAAACCACGAGATCATGACTTAAGTGAAAGTCCGACGCTTGACCGACTAAGTCACCCAGGCGCCCCTGTTCAAAAATATTTTTAATAGGAATTAATTTTATTAATATTAATACAGAAATTAATTTTATGAATATTGAAAGAATCTCACTATTAGGAATGTTGCTTTTTTAAAAAAAATTAAGGTAAAAGTCACATCACAAAATTAGCCATGTTAAAGTGTGTCATCCAAAGGGGAGCCTGGATGGATCAATCGGTGAAGTGTCTGACTTTGGCTCAGGTCATAATCTCAGTTTGTGGGTTCGAGCCCTGCACTGAGTTCTGTGCTGGCAGCTCAGAGCCTGGAACCTGTTTCAGATTCTGTGTTTCCCTCTCTCTTTCACCCTCCCCTGCTCATGCTCTGTCTCAAAAATAAATAAACTAGGGGCGCCTGGGTGGCTTAGTCGGTTAAGCGTCCGACTTTCGCTTAGGTCATGATCTCGCGGTTCGTGGGTTCGAGCCCCATGTCGGGCTCTGTGCTGACTGCCAGCTCAGAGCCTGGAGCCTGTTTCAGAGTCTGTGACTCCCTCTCTCTCTGACCCTCCCCTGCTCACGCTGTCTCTCTCTCTCTCTCCTAGAAATAAATAAAAAACATTAAAAAAATTTAAAAAATAAATAAACTATTTAAAATTTTTTAATAAAATAAAGTAGGTCATCCATGGACTTTTAGTATATTTACAAGATTCATTCATGTAGCATGCAGTAGTTCATTCCTTTTTATGACTGAATAATATTCCATTGTATAGATACACCACATTCTGTTTATCCATTCATCATCAGCTGATGGACACTGGCTTGGTTCCAACTTAGGGCTATTATCATACTGTTGAGAACATCTGCTTAAAATTTTGTTTGAACACCTGCTTTCAGTATTCTTCACTCTATGCCTAGCTGTGAAACTGCTGGGCGTATGATGATTCTAGTTTTATCTTTTTGACAAACTTGCCAAACTGTTTTCCATAATAGCTATACCATTTAACATTCCCACCTGCAATGTATGAGGGTCCTGATTTCTCCACGTTTTTGTAAACACTTGGTATTTTCTGGAGGTTTTTGTTATACCCATCTTGTGAAGAGGCATCTCACTGTTTTCACTTTAATTTCCCAGTGACGAATGATGTCAACCACCTTTACATGTGCTTGTCATTTACGTATCTTCTTTGAAGAAATGTCTGTTCAAATCATTTGTCCATTTTTAATTGGGTTATCTTTTCGTTATTGAGTTGTAACAGCTCTTGATATATTCTGGATGCTAGGCTCTTATCAAATAAGGCTTGCAAAATATTTGTGGGTTGCCTTTTCACTTTCTTGATAGTATCCTTCAATGCACAAAAGATTTTAATTTTTTTAAAAATTTTTAATGTTTATTTTTGAGAGAGAGAGAGAACAAGCAGGCAAGGGGCAGAGAGAGAGAGACACAGAATCTGAAGCGGGCTCCAGGCTCTGAGCTGATAGCACTGAGCCTGACGTGGGGCTTGAACTCAGATCATGACCTGAGCTGAAGGCAGGCACTTAACCAACTGAGCCACCCAGATGCTCCTAAAGGCTTTTAATTTTGATGAAGTCTAATTTATCCAATTTTTTTGTTTTTGTTGCTTTTGCTTTTGGTGTCATTTCTAAGAAACCATTGCCAAATCCAGTCTTGAAAATTTGCCCCTATGTTTTCTTCTAGGAGTTTTATAGTTTTAGCTTATAAATTTAGATCTTTTATTTTTAATTGTGCATGCTGTGAGATTAAGGGTTGCTTTTGTATGTGGTTATCCATTTGCCCAGCATCACTTAATGAAAAGACTATTCTTTCCTCCATCGAATGGTATTTGCATCCTTTTCAGGGGTGCCTGGGTGGCTCAACTGGCTAAGCATCCAACTCCTGATTTTGGTTCAGGTCATGATCTCATGGTTTGTGAGACTGAGTCCTGCATTGGGCTCCAGGCTGACAGCATGGAGCCTGTTTGGGATTCTCTCTCTCCCTGCTCGCTAGCTTGCTCTCTCACTCTCTCTCTCTCTCTCAAAATAAGTAAATAAACATTAAAAAAAAAAAACAGTCCTGGCACAAAAATCAATTGACCATAAATACATGGGTTTATTTCTGGGCTCATAATTTATGTTTTGTTTGTTTGTTTTTAATTGAGACAGAAACAGAGCATGAGTGGGGGAGGGGCAGAGAGAGAAGGAGACACAGAATCTGAAGCAGGCTCCAGGCTCTGAGCTGTCAGCACAGAGCCTGATGCGGGGCTGCAACCCACGGACCGTGAGATCATGACCTGAGCCGAAGTCAGATGCTTAACCGAGCCACCCAGGCACCCTTAGGCTCACAATTTGATTCCATCAACCTAGATGTCTATCTTTACTTAATTACTGTAGCTTCATAGTAAGTTTTGAAATCAGGAAGTGAGTTCTCCAACTTTATTCTTTTTCAAGATTGTTTTGGCTGTTTGAGGGCTCTTGCATTTCCATGTGAATTTTAGGATTGGCATGTCCATTTCATAATCTTGGCTATTGAAATTTTGATGGAAATTATACTGAATTTGTATATCAGCTTGAGAAGTGCTGCCATCTTAACAATATTAAGTATGCCAATTAATGAACATGGGATATCTTTCCATTTACTTGGGTCTTCTTTAACTTTTTCAACAATTCTTTCTCATTTTTAGTGTACAAGTCTTGTACTCTTTGGTTAAATTTAAGTATTTTACCATTTTTGATAATATTGTAAATGGAATTATTTTTCAAATATCTTTTACAGACTAGCCACTGTTCGTGTATAGATACACAGCAGACATTAAGAAGGACTTGTTTCTGCCATTTCCTCTTTGTTTTCTATATGTCCTATAGACAACTTTGTTGAACTCTTGTTAGCTCTACCAGTTTTTTTGTGTGTGGATTTTTTGAGATTGCCATGTATAAGATCATGTAATGTGAATGAAGTCTTAGTTTTTCCTTTCTGATTTGGAAGCCATTTCTCCCCCTTCTTTTTACTTAATTGCACTAGTTAGCCCTTCTAGTACAATGCTAAAGTAGCAAAAAGTGGCAGTTAAAGGAAGTTTTCTTCCATTCCTTTTTTGTCCTTTTATAGTGTTTTTACCATAAAATGGTGTTGAATTTTGTCAAATACCTTTTCTGCACCAATAGAGATGACCATTGGTTCTCATTCTTTTTTCTATTAATATGGTATCTTACATCGACTGATTTTCATATTTTTT